TGTGTGTGTGTGTGTGTGTGTGTGTGTGTAATAGAGTTCTGCTCAGGCTCTGGAGGAGCTGTTATTCTCCGAGAGCTCTTTGACTCTGAGGCCAGATCAGTGTGCCAGCGTGTTTCTTACACACTCAGTAGTGCACTGTGCTCTCTGCTGTTAAAGTGTTGCTGCAGGCATCAGAATGATCGCCTGTTCTCTGGCAGTAGGAGTAATAAACCATCGGCTGAAGCTGTCAGGAGACCTGGCATCAAATCATCATGACCGATCGCTCAGATCACGCGGAGCAGAAGCGCGTACAGTTTAGGAATATTTATTTTAGCTTTGTGGCTTATGAAAGCAGTAAATTATGTACATGTTTAAAACCAATCACCTTATGTGTTTAATGTAAAGTACTTTATGTAGAGTACTTGGGAAATATATTTCAGTCTTATAAACAATGTCACCTGGATTTCAACTTATGGAAATTCAAAAGTTTGGAGTTTGTAGAAATGTTAAACAGAAGAAATTATTTTGATGTAACTCAGTTTATTTAACCCTAAATCTACTGTATCATATTTGAAACAGACATTGCTAAGGCTCTGAATGATCAAACTGCTGTTAAAGCTGTTTCACTCAATCTCCTCCATGTCTTAGTTTGTTTTTTATCCAGTCACAGCTCTTTTAGTGTAATTGATCAAACATCCAGCTTCAGCTGGAGCTTCTCGTGTCAAATCTTGACTGATTTTGATCAAGTAAAGGTCAGAATAACTGCAGTAATATCTCCAGATGAACACTTACTGGACTGAAGCAGCTCAGCTTTACTTGATTCTCCATCAATCATGTTTTAGAGTCTCAAATCTGATCCTCAGGATCTTTTGAGGAGCGTTTGTTTCCAGAAGCTTTACTTTCACTGTTCCTCAGCGGAGGAATGATCTTCACAAGCCTCCAGAACATCTCACATCTTCTGAGGGGCCTTTATTTCTTCAGCTCTCAATCACTGCATTATATGTTTGGAGCATTTACATCTCATCTCACTGAGACATGTTACTGCAGATATAGAGCCACGACTGATATTTAGTCAATCAGTTATTACTAGTGATTTAATGACAGTATATTAATTTGTCTGTGATTCAGGGGTCTCACAGCAAAGACGGCAGCACTCAGAACCAGGAGGAGAACATGACGACCAGCCAGGAAACACCTCCGATTCCCGTTCCTGCAATAGTCAAGGTACAACTAAACATCTCGTGCAGTTCAAATCTCCACACACAAAGCAGATGATGATACGTTACTGTAATGCTAACATCTGAAGCGCTCGCATAAATCTAATATCAGCTCATTTGATGAACTCTCTGATTCCTCTCTGCTTTTACTGTGCAAAGCAGTCCAAAATGTCTGAGAAGAACCGCCACAAGAAACCCAAAGACATCAAGCCTAAAGTGAAGAAGCTGAAGTACCACCAGTACATCCCGCCAGACCAGAAGGCAGAGAAATATCCTACGCTGCAGATGGACTCGGCGTATGCATGTCTCCTGCAGCAGCAGCAGCTCTTCCTGCAGCTACAGATCCTCAGCCAGCAGAACCCCCATCCACAGCAGCAGAGCTTCAGCTACCAGACCCTCAGCCAGAACACCACACACAAGTGAGTGCAGCACTGGATAAAATCATCACAGTGTGTCTTTCAAAGCACACACACACACACACACACACACACACGGACACAAGGACACACACACACACACACACACACGGACACAAGGACACACACACACACACACACACACGGACACAAGGACACACACACACACACACACACACGGACACAAGGACACACACACACACACACACACACGGACACAAGGACACACACACACACACACACACACGGACACAAGGACACACACACACACACACACACACGGACACAAGGACACACACACACACACACACACACGGACACAAGGACACACACACACACACACACACACGGACACAAGGACACACACACACACACACACACACGGACACAAGGACACACACACACACACACACACACGGACACAAGGACACACACACACACACACACACACGGACACAAGGACACACACACACACACACACACCACTCACTCACTCACTCACTCACACACACACACACACACACACACACACTCACTATAGTAGTATATATATATAGTGTGTGTGTGTGTGTGTGTGTGTGTGTGTGTGTGTGTGTGTGTGTGTGTAACAGGCCGTCCGGTGAGCAGCAGTCATCGTGTGCGTCCAGTGTTCAGAGCAGCAGCAGCTCGTCGTCTCCAGTGAAGAGCAGCTCCTCTAACCCGTCCATCAGCCCCCTCAGAACCGGACCGCTGCCCGCCGACCTGGACGACCTGAAGGTCAGTGCTGCGCTTTGACTCCGTCCTGATGTGATGATGAAGGGGTTACAGATCTCAAACACTACAGGTCTAACTAACAGACCTCACCATGCTAAACCAGCTGATCAATCACAGTACATTAAGAACATTGTTTTGTCTTGCAATTTTACTGAAATGTTATGTTTAAATATGCAAATGATGCATTGTCTAATTAAATATGCACTAATTTGCATACATTTCCAGAACATAAATCTGAACACTGCTTAAAGCCAGATTCAACATTCTTGATTGTGTTAACATATTAGAGTATTGGAATTGAAATCGACAGATAAAGTGTGATAAAATCAACACTTCAGTGTGTGTTCCGGGTGTTTTCTGTGCACTAGTCTGAATGAAGAAAAAAATCTCAAAACTGACCCGTGAAAAAACAATGGTTTTGCCTGCGTGTATGATCAGTAAGTCAGCATATGCTTTTCCATTAACTCATTAAAGTAATATAATAAATTTCAACTTCATTTTTTAAAGTTATACAAGATTCAACAAGACAAGATTTAAAATGATTTGACCTGTACAGCCAGTTTGATTAGAGATACATAAAAAAGCAAAGTTTTTGTAAAGGAAATGCTAGCAGCACTAGCCAGCAGTGAATGTAAATCAGGTCTGCTCAATAGACTGTGCAATTATTTATAAAAGTATATAAACAAAAAATAGAGATAATAAGATAACTCAGTTTTGGAGCCGGGTATGTGTGGAGCACCATTAGGTGTCAAAAATACTTTCTGTAGAATTATTTATGAAGTTATATTTGTGTCAATGAAATTTTGTTAAATATATCTAGACTTTTCTCCACATCTCACACACTTTTGCACTGAATTGTTTTGTTGATGAACATGACGAACCACTGCAGCATAAAAGATCCATGACTTTTTGTTCATCTGAATGTTCATCAGATATGCAAGTAAAGTGAATTTATTTTGTTTGAAAACTTTTCTGAGTAATATTTACATTGTTTCGAGGTTTTATTAGAAAGGTTTCATGAATGTGGACTGTATTTGAGCAATCACAAGTTAGAAATTCAACAGAATTTAATTAAATTCTATTCTTTTTCTCAATTTTAAAATGAATAAAAAAGAGGTAAATGCAGTAATAGCATAGTAATAGCACGGTAACATTCAAAGACACTAGGCTTAAGCAGTCCCAGCCTAAAATGCATGTCTGGGCTGTTTTAACTGAAAGAAACTTGCACTGACTGATCTTAAAATCTGTCAGCTCCACTGATTTGTCTCAAGATGCACACCAGTAGTGTTTTTATCTAAGGCACATTTATAAAAGCTACTTAAATGTCCTAATTGAACTATGGCCTAATCCTGGCTTAACCTAAGCCCTGTCTGTGAAACCAGGCCAATATGATTTTAGTTGAAACATTAAGTTATGACTGCTTTATAAGATAACCCGAAATGGACCCAGAATGTGGAAACAGTGTGCAGATTGTGAATGCATTACTGGGTTAATCATGTAACGCAGCAGCTGAACGTAAGTTGAGCTCGTAGTAATTGTAGCCTCTGAGCCGTTGTTCTGGGGAAGCCTGAAGCTGATTGGTGTGTTGCAGGTGTCTGAACTCAGGCAGCAGCTGCGCATGCGTGGTCTGGCCGTGTCTGGCACTAAGACTTTGCTCATCGAGCGGCTGCGGCCCTTCAGAGACTCCAGCTGCGCTTCTCCAGCCGCGTTCCCCGTGACGCCCACCGGATCGCTCTCGTCCTACCACTTCTACCCGTTCTGCAGCAGCGGCTCCACGCCGCCCATCTCTCCGGCCTCGTCCGAGCTCTCCGTCAGCAGCTTCAGCGACGCCACCGTGTCCTCGCCGCAGTTCGGCCTGAGCACAGACGAGGGACCGGACCCCGAGAAGGACAAGATGCTGGTGGAGAAGCAGAAGGTGATCGAGGAGCTGAGGTGGAAGCTGCAGCAGGAGCAGAGGCAGGTGGAGGAGCTGCGCTTGCAGCTGCACAAGAGGAAGCGCATGCAGGACTGTCCCGCTCCGCCGCAGCACAGGACGCATCTGCAGCAGTTCTACGGCGTGTCCGTCAAGCAGGAGCAGATGAAAGGCGGCTGCATGGCTCACTGCGATCTCCTGGAGCTGCAGTCGTCTGGAAGCCCCGCCGGTCTGTCTGCGTTCCTGAGCCCTCAGTGTTCTCCTGAAGATTCACCCGTCACCAAACCCTCCAGCAGCCCCCCGTCGCCAGACTCACACACGCTGCTGCCGAACGCAAGCAGAGCCACGCGCAGCACACAGGTGATCCACGGTGATCGAGGAGCTGAGGTGGAAGCTGCAGCAGGAGCAGAGGCAGGTGGAGGAGCTGCGCTTGCAGCTGCACAAGAGGAAGCACATGCAGGACTGTCCCGCTGCGCCGCAGCACAGGACGCATCTGCAGCAGTTCTACGGCGTGTCCGTCAAGCAGGAGCAGATGAAAGGCGGCTGCATGGCTCACTGCGATCTCCTGGAGCTGCAGTCGTCTGGAAGCCCCGCCGGTCTGTCTGCGTTCCTGAGCCCTCAGTGTTCTCCTGAAGATTCACCCGTCACCAAACCCTCCAGCAGCCCCCCGTCGCCAGACTCACACACGCTGCTGCCGAACGCAAGCAGAGCCACGCGCAGCACACAGGTGATCCACACACAAAGCCTCGTACTGAGACACGACTGTTCATCTGTGACCCTGCAGCACAAAAGCAGTCTTAAGTCGCTGGGGTATATTTGTAGCAATAGCCAACAATACATTGTATGGGTCAAAATTATTGATTTTTCTTTTATGCCAAAAATCATTAGGATATTAAGTAAAGATCATGTTCCATGAAGATATTTTGTAAATGTCCTACCGTAAATATATCAAAACTTAATGTTTGATTAGTAATATGCATTGCTAAGAACTTCATTTGAACAACTTTAAAGATGATTTTCTCAATATTTAGATTTTTTTGCACCCTCAGATTCCAGATTTTCAAATAGTTGTATCTCAGCCAAATATTGTCCTATCCTAACAAACCATACATCAATGGAAAGATTATTTATTCAGCTTTCAGGTGATGCATAAATCTCAATTTCAAAAAATTGACCCTTATGACTGGTTTTGTGCTCCAGGGTCACATTTATTCAGAAATACATGGAAAACACAGCTCATACACACAGCAACACATCTCTACTATGACAAATGTGTTTTTTAGTTCTTTCTGGAAATTCATTCATTTAAAAAATTGCTGAAACATTATTAAAAATGGCTTATTATTTGAAAAACTAAATTGTTTGCTAAATGACTAAGGTAAACAGAAAATGCTACAATAGAGATTATACCTGTATGATTAGAATTATTATTTTTTTTTTTTTGACAAGGCAAGGTCAGTGCAGGTTGTAAAATGTCATGTGGTGCAACTCTCTGATTATTATTGCAGTTATTAAATTTAAATTATTGTTGTATTATTATTTAAATTACAATGTATAATTTACATATATTTTTATGACACTGCAAAAAAGTATTATTTATTTTAAATTATTTATTTATTTTAAATTATTTTGAAGATGTGTACTTTCACACAAGTATTCAAGGCTTAAGGAAAGTACAACAATTATATTTATAAATCAATATTATGATTTTATATTATTCATGTATTTTATTTAACTATATTTTATAATATTTGTAAAAAAAATTATCTTGAAAAATTATTTAATTTAAATTTGTAAAATACATAGATGCACATTCATGTTTATTTATGATTTAAGGAAAATATTAGTTTTTGCTTGGTTGCGCAACATGACATTTCTAGAGTCATTAAATTTAACTTTTTGTTGAAAATGTAATAAAAGTCAGTCAAATTTCAGTTAAATGTATTTGTATAGCACTTTTCACTTTTCAAAGCATCTTTACATAAATTCCTGCTGTTAATGTTTTTATGCCTTACAGTCACATTTATCAGATTAGAGCTGGACGATAATATAGTTTACATTTTGCAAAGATATGAGCAATCAGGCCTGGTATGTATGTGCATGAAGGTGGATATTCTTACATATACAGCTTTATATAAAGAGCGGGACGATAATGTAGTTGTAATTTGCCACAAAAAGCAATAAAAGGTTTTCAAAACCAGATGAAACCAACATGAATACAAAGAGTACTTGGAAGATGGAATTTGTGAAAGATTCTTCATCATGGACACTGATGCTTGTGATTGATTCAGTGACTAACGGCTGAAATCTGTCCCAGCTGCAGCAGAAGAGCTGCTCGTATCCACCTGACCAGAGAAACCTGCAGACGCTTTACCATCAGAGTCCATCAGAGAACAGCGTCAGCGCCAGAGGATCCACCAGAGCCAAGAGCGCCGGCACACAGCAGAACGTACGTGAAGAAATCCGACTCATTCATCACAAAACCTCACACACATCACGTGTTCTGATCTGCTCCGGCAACAGAGAGGCTCTTACACTGGGCTTCTGTCAAATATTGAAATAATCAGGACTTTTAATGTCTCTGAAAGAAGTCTCTTCTGCTCACTAAGACTGCATTTATTTTATTTGATCAAAAATACAGTAAAAATTGTGAAATATTATTATAATGTAAAATAGCTGTTTTCTATGTGAATATATGTTAAACTGTAATTTATTGCTGTGATCAAAGCTGTATTTTCAGCATCATTACTCCAGTCTTCAGTGTCACATGATCTTCAGAAATCATTCTAATATGCTGATTATTAGAAACATTTCTGATTATTATCAATGTTTAAAACAGTCGTGCTGCACAATATTTTTGTGGAAACTGTGATGCATTTTATTTTTCAGGATTCACAGATGAACAGAAAGTTCAAAAGAACAGCATTTATTTGAAATAGAAATCCTTTGTTGCATTATAAATGTCTTTACTGACACTTTTGATCAATTTAATGCATCCTTGATGAATAAAAGTATTCCTTTATTTCTTTTGAAAATGAATCACAGTTTCCACAAAAATATCAAATAAATAACAGCTGTTTTAAAGTGTAATCATTTTTCACAATTTTACTGTATTTTTGATCAGATAAATGCAGCCTTGGTGAGCAGAAGGGACTTCTTTCAGAAACATGAAAAACTCTTGGTAATTGCTAACGTTTGTATTTGGCGAGTTTGTTTAATCACATGTGCTGCTCAATGATCATGTGAAATCAGCACATGCCCACACACACACACACACACTCTCTCACAGCATCTGGTGTGTTTATTGTCACTGGGTCAGAAGTCACGCCGTCCTGCTGAGGAAGCGTCTGATAATGAGTCTGTGTGTAGTCAGGTTTAAGTCCCCACCAGGATATATAAACCAGTACACTCACACACACACACACACACACACTGGTCAGAGAGCTGTGCTCCTCTGGCTCCTCAGAGGTGTAACGTGTGGCCCTGTCTCCTGTAGGAGGCTCTGTCTCTCTCTCCGCAGCACGTTGAGCCCAAGTCTCCTACATCCAGCACTGCCTTCTGTAGCTCAGATCCTCCTGCCTCCGGCAGCAAAGGGCCGCCGCGTTATGAGGATGCTGTGAAACAGGTAAAGCAGCTCAGGATCCTCTCACGCTCTCAGAGCTTCTGTCTGTGTCTCTACAGCTTTACTGACAGCGGCAGTAAATTACAGTAAATTGTAAGTTACAGTTGTACAATAAAAAATTATCAAATAATAATAATAATAATAATAATTGAATTGTACACCCTGTCCACACAAATGTTGGAGATGATGTGAATGTGTAAATAAAGTGAGCACGTGTTGCGTTCTCAGATGCATGTTAGACTCATACAGTGATGAAGTTCACTGAGACGCTGAAAACCCCGGATCAGAGCTGATGATGACATGAACACAGAGCCACGCTTCACTCTGAATATACTGATACTGAATTCAATCACAGACGTTGATTTGATCATCACACTGATTATTGCAAAGCCCTGTTGATTTACTTTAGTTGTACATGTAATATGAGCAGCTGTTGGCGTTTCATTAACTTAAGAAGCCCGTTTGCTGTAACTTTCTAGCGATAGCTGTCCTAGAAATCGCCTGCAGAAACAAACATTTACCATCAAGTCTGAGTGAAACCAGTCCCAGGACAAGCGTTTGAATTCCGTCAGCTACAAAATCTCTTCATACATTTAACACTCTTAATGCATTCAAAATCTGTGTACTAGGATAAGATATCGTAACTGTTGTTTAAACGATAAGCGATTTGACATTACCGAGTATATCGCAGAAACCAAACAGAAACACACAGAGTGCGTAGTTTTGTGTCTCTTGAGCAACATGACGGTGTTTCCTTACTGAATCAATCCGCCGTTTGAACGAATCGGTTGAGTGAACGACTCAATGACTCACTCGTGCAGTGATTTGCTGCCACCTACTGGCGATTTTAGGTTCATATTTAAAGTATATGTTCCCTTTTTTCCCCCAGAATCATCTCGAAATATCACTAATGAAAGTTTTGTTTTTAAAACATCAAAACATTATTTATGCAAGTGAAATGCATTCATGTCCTGCATTAAACAGTCAGATGCAGCCACTTCAGATGCAGATTCTGTTCCTCGGTACTGCAAACACAAATTTTGTTGATTGATACTGATTTAATTTGATTGGTAACAGCCCTACAGTGCCTTACTATTTGAATTGATTAAATGTAAGATTTTGACACAAAAGTTGATGCATACATTTAATTAGTTTAGAAAAAAACCTTATAAAGGTAAAAATGCACATAAAAGGTAAAAATGTACTTATTGTAAAAGTTAATTTCTGTTACTCCTGCAAACAAACCACTGCACAGAACATGAAGAATATCTGAAGCTTTGGGAGTCAGCTTCCAGCCGTCCTAAACCTGCCAAAATACCAGCACAATCTCAGCGATATATCATCTAATCATCGCTATCGACAAAATTCCAGAAAATATCCAGATAGCATTTTATGTCATTATCGCATAACCCTACTGTGTATTGTTTTCACATTTTGGAGCCGAGTATTCGTTATTTTATAAAACAGTCAAAACTAAATATTTTTCAACTAAAACCATATTGTATCTAATCAGCAACTTCTCATTATTGAGTGAATGTGAAAAAATTCAAGCTTTGGATGTCATTATCCTATTATTATTGCATTTACCCATTTTTTATTAATCAAAAAAATTGCGAAGCTCTTTGATATGTTATACATTAACTGCTGAGAAATTTAATAGAATATATGATTGTATGAGGTGTATAAGATCATATAATTACTAACCCCACTAGAATGAATAGAATTTAATTCCTTTGAATTTCTAACTCATGATTGCTCAAATACAGTCCAAATTTACAAAACCAACAACATATTTATTTACAATAAACAACATCAAAACAACATAAATATTACTCTGAAAAGATTTCAAACAAAATAAATTAATTTGCATAAACGTTTCAGATGAACAAAAAGTCATGGACTTTCTTTTTTTCTGCAGTGGTTCGTCAATAGACCTACATATTCATGTTCATCAACTGAATCCTGTCCAAAAGTGTGGGAGATATGGAGAAAAGACTAAAAGACTTAATCAAATTTCTTTGACACTGATATAACTTCATAGACAATTCTACAAAAAGCATTTTTAACACCCAAGAGCACGAAACATGTTTCTTAAATGGTTCTATCTCTTCAAAAACAACATCTGAAACAAATAAATGATCTGTATTTTGAGGGTCTTAAAGCATTTGCAAAGTTTCATTCCGTTAATAAAAAACACGATGCAATTGTTACGCATCTCCTCTGCGTTACGAGGGTTAAAGCCAAGAATAGAAGGCTGCACTGAATAGCAACACCATTAAATGATCCTGTGATGTTCTTGCAGCAGATGTCGCGTAGCCAGCAGATGGACGAGCTTCTAGACGTCCTCATCGAGAGCGGAGGTGAGTCTCAATCATCGCATTTCACCCAGTAACCGCCCAGCTGTTATTGACCATTAAAGTCGCTGTCTGTGCTGTCATTGTCTTGTTTTAAAGAAATGCCAGCTAACGCCAAAGAAGAGCGGTCTCCTGTAACCAAAGTTGTGCCTCACCTTACAGTTCCGTCCAAGTTCCACCGACACTACAGTCAGGTGTCGCCCCCCATGCTGTGGTCCGATCACGGAGACGCTCACCTGGAGCCGCTGCTGAGCCGGACGCAAGGAGACGCGGCGCTCCTGAAGATGCCGGCTGAGGACGGATTCACAAAGATCTCAGCGGGCGCCGCCGAGGGTCACAGCCTCGGAATGACCTTCGCGGAGTCGCCGTGGGAGACGATGGAGTGGCTGGATCTGATTCCGCCCAGCTCCGCCAACGCCTCCCACAGCGGCCTGCCTCCGTCTGGACCGAGCATCTTCAACACCGAGCTCCTGGACGAGACCGACATCAGCCTGCACCTGCAGCACTGGTGAGGACAAACATCACGTCCACAGCCAGAGCTCCAGCGCTTACCACTGTTTCATCACGCTCCATCAAAACTTGAATCGTTTCGACTGTGGATTCTGTTTGGATTACTGGAAACAGAAAGGAATTGGATTCAGACCGAGACGTCCGTACATCCATCTGCAAACACATGAACGCAGCTCGATACAGTTTAGTTTTGTCTGCACATCTGTGGTGTGGGAAAGCACGTATTAATGCGTCACACTAGTATATCACGTGCCCTTGTAAATATGAATTCACACTTGCACCTTGAGCTTACAGTAGGATGTCACGCTTTATATGAACATTTCCTTCCTTTCTGTCACCATCGTGTCTTTAATTTATTTAGCGAGCGCAAACCTTTGGGTTTTACGTGTGATAAGGCCTGCTTCCATCATGGGATAAAAAATAACAGTGTTTGTGTCTTTAGAGCTCAGACTGTTTCTCACAATCTTCAGCATTGCAAGATATAAACTCAGAATTTTTACTTTTTTTTCTGAATTGAATTTACGTTTCGCAATTTTTTTCCACCACATAATGACAAATAAAAACACGTAATTGCGACATTTTATCTCACAATTATGACTTTTTTTCTCATAATTTTATATCTTAATATTCTGATTCTATATCTCATAATTCAGATTTTTTTTATCTTGCAATTCTGAGTTTATATCTCACAATTTTGACTTCATATCTCATAATTCCGACTCTATATCTCATAATTATGACTCTATATCTCGCAATTCCGACTCTATATCTTATAATTCTGACTCTATATCTCACAATTCCAACTTTATATCTCATAATTCTGACTCTATATCTTATAATTCTGACTCTATATCTCGCAATTCCAACTCTATATCTCATAATTCCGACTCTACTTGCAATCTATATCTCATAATTCCGACTCTACTTGCAATCTATATCTCACAATTCTGACTCTATATCTCACAATTTCGACTTCATATCTCATAATTCCAACTCTATATCTCATAATTCCGACTCTATATCTCGCAATTCCGACTCTATATCTCATAATTCCGACTCTATATCTCATAATTCCGACTCTATATCTCGCAATTCCGACTCTATATCTCATAATTCTGACTCTATATCTCACAATTTCGACTTCATATCTCATAAACCCGACTTCATATCGCATAATTCCGACTCTATATCTCATAATTCTGACTCTACTTGCAATCTATATCTCATAATTCTGACTCTATATCTCACAATTTCGACTTCATATCTCATAATTCCAACTCTATATCTCATAATTCCGACTCTATATCTCACAATTCTGACTCTATATCTCATAATTCTGACTCTATGTCTCATAATTCTGACTCTATATCTCACAATTCCGACTCTATATCTCATAATTCTGACTCTATATCTCA